GGCCGCCCGCGTCACCCCAGAAACGGGCGCTCGGAGCGCCGCCGGCCCCGCGGGGAGCGCTGCAGCCGCCGCCGCGGATATGGAGCGGGGTCGCCCATTGTCGGCAAGTTCCTCGTCGCCCGGCCCGTCCAGGTATTGTTCCCGAAGCTGCGTCCCCGGTCCCGCCGCGCGGCCGGCAGCTCCCGGGGCGCCCCCTGCATCCCGGGGGTGCTGCCCCGGGGACCAGGAAACTTGAGCTTTCGAGGCATCTGAGGGCAGAGCTGCTTTCTCTGACCCCTCGCGAGCCTCACGCCCCGGCGGAGACGTGGGCGAAGTCCTGTGCGGTTCCGGGAAGCGGCGCCATCGTCTTTCTGCCTGTGAGGAGGGAGCGGAGCTGGTGCTGCGCTCGGCGCCCCGAAAGGCCTGCGCGGGGGTCCCCGCCCGGGAACCGGGGGGCCTGGCTTACGGTCCTGCCGGCGCCGCTTCGCCGAGCCCCTGGTGAACCGGGCACTGCCCTTTGAGCCTCTGCCAAGTGGGAGCGTATTAATGTCTACCCCCCGAGCGTTATTATGGAATTAAATGATACGAGTGAGGACCGAACCGAAACAGAGTCCTGCTCCATGTAGTTTGATTGAGGGTAGTAAGTTAAGACGACCTGTTTAGGGAGATTTTGTTGGTGATTCATGAATGCCTTAGAAATACCTAACAGCCCCAAAATACTGTGAGATGGAGAAAGCTCCGGTTCCCTTTCCACAACCGGCTTTTCGTGTTGGAGCCTGTGTGCCCCCGGAGCATGCGGTTGCTTGGATTGTTGTTGCCCCTGTGCCTTGGAGACTTGTCCCGAGCGTTCCCAGTAACTTCAACTCCCTTACTCTTCATTCATTCATTCAAAAATATTTCTGAAGGGTCCATTAATGAAAGTGTTTGCAACTGCTAAGGTGAAAAGGGTAAAGAAGGGTCAGGGCAGAACCTTCAAGGAGCTTATGTTCTACAGGGATAGATCGATTTCTTTTTTCAATAAATACTCACTGATTTCCTGCATGAGCCAGGGACTGTTCCAGTGCTGGCGATACAGCACTGAACCAGCTAAGGCCCTGCCCTCCTGGAGTTTACATTTTATTGAAGGCTGGAGAAACAAACAATAGTCAAGTAAATGATAGGCCCCAAATGGCAGAGTGGCTAAGCAGCAGGGCTGAGAGGCCAGCCTCATCAGTCTGTTCTAAAGCCCATTATCAGTCGCACGGTACAGACCACTTGTTCATGTTGAGAGGACTTTGCAGACTGATGTATGATACAATAAAAGTAACCACGATTAAGAGACTGCCTTCTAGCCCTCAGCCGACTGTAATTCAACTGACAAGTCAAAGATTCTTTCGTGGTGAAAATTTGAAATTTGTATACTGTTCTTGAAATCTCTGGCTCTGTTCTCTTGTCGAGGTGGCTCCTAAATTATTTATGTATGATGTTATGAGGAATCATTTTGGAAACATCATACGAAGTGATGCAATTTAGCAGAATAACTAATAGCAACTGTAAGGTATTCCAGCTTTTGAAGGTGCTGGCAAAAGAATATTGCTCAGAACCTGGTGGAAAACCAATTTAGAGTTTAAATGGAAAGCAAAGAGGTTTTTCTAGTTTATATCTCTTTAGATTTTGATTTGTTTTGTGCTGGTTAGAATGTACTTTAAATATAGTTCCAAATTATACAGAAACAAAAACGAATCCTTGGATTTTTTTAAGCATTCAATTTCAAGAATCTTTTCTTAGATTCTTATTTACAGTTTCTGGTTTTGAAGGAAAAGTTGTTTACAGGGTTGAAGTGTTGCTGCTCATTGACAGTTTAAAAGGCTTCTCAAATTAATACTATATATTTCTTAACCCTCAGCGCCCCCCTTAACAACAATACAATACAATTCTGTTGACTTGATTGGTTATTACTAGGTTGTGTGTATATGTCTCTGTCATTGTTGAAAGTGGGGTGCAGAGTAATTTTCTAAGTCAGTGTACAAATGGAATAATAAACCATTTGTATTTGAATCACAAGTACTTTATATTTGTAATACTACAAATGATTCTGATTTAAAAGTTTATTTCAAAATAAACAAGTGTCAGAGCTATTGAAAACAGATAAAATATTGTTATAGAAAATAAAGGTTAAACTAAATTTAGCTTTGCCTAGATTCTAAATGTTACTAATTATGATTAATCACCTTTCTTCATCTTTACTTTCAAAACAGTTGGAAATGCAGATAAATTCAAACCTCTCATTTGGAGCTGAAGCTACCAGTTACTTTATCTCAATAGCCTGGCTTCCCTAAGAATAAAATTGTTTCTGCTTCCTTACATCTTCTACTTTCCAATATGTGACATTTTTTATGTTTTTATTTTTTTATTTTTTTTTAACATATCTTTATTGATTTCAGAGAGAGGAAAGGAGGGGGAGAGAGAGAGATAGAAACATCAATGATGAGAGAGTCATTGATCGGCTGCCTAGCCCACAACCCGGGCATGTGCCCTGACCAGGAACCGAACCCCAATCGCCTGGATCCTAGGTCGATGCTCAACCACTGAGCCACACCGAGCCAGGCTATATGACATTTTTTAAAGTGGTTTTTTTTTTTTGGTCTTATTGCAAACATAATAAATTTTTTGCCATAGAAAAATTAGAATGTAAAAAGTTAAGAAGTAGAAAATAAAGGACTTAGTGATCAATGATAACCAGTGATCTTGATAACCAGTTTCATGAATTCCCCAAAAACACTAACACAGCCCATAAATACCAACACCTGGAGTAAGAGCTATTAATAATTACCTTAACTTTTAACAAAGAACAGTATTATAACTGATGTGGGCAGAACTAAAAGACTTAGAGAAGGTCTAACTCAGTGCCAACCTCCTACCCTTCTAGCAGCTCCTACCTCTTACCTGTTAACTTTATACCTCCAGACCCAATTCCTGAAATTTTCAGCCTTTTGAGTTAATTCCTTGGTTTGAGCATTATTTGTCTTACTTTCCACTCAAATATTCCAGGGAAAGGAAACCCTAGAGGTGGGAAAGCATAACCTAAAGAGGACATATTTTGAGACTTCTATTAATTTAAATTCTAGATAGTTTTGCATTATACTCCATAATTCTGTTACTATAGCAATTGGTATGTATTTTCTAGGAATGTCTACCATGTTTTTCCTGTGGCTTTCAATGCCCCTTGTGAATCAGAGGACTTTTGGAAACTCAAAAAAGACTAAGCACAGTTACTGTTTCCATCACCCAGAATGGAAAACCTAATAATTCATATGGCATTGGGTAGAGTACTCCAAAAGGTTTTACCTCCATTGTGGGGCAAAATTAACCAGATACTAAATACAGCGTTAATACCACCTTTAAAAGCCTAAAAGCAAGACCCAAGAGGATCAAACTGTTCTCAAATAACTATATTCCAGGACAATGCTCAATAATATTATAGGAATATAAAAATATCCAACACCATACAAGGTAAAATTCACACTGTCCGGAATCCAATAAAAATTTACCAGGCATGATAAGCAGCAGTGTACAACCCATAATGAAGAGAAAGATTAGCAATTGAAACTAACTTAGAAATAACACAGTGAAATTAATAGACAAGGACATTAAAACATTAAAACTATTCATATGTTAGAAAAACTAGAGAAAAGAAAAGATAGAACAAATTAAGTGGAGACTAAAAAAAAAAATTTTTTAAACACCAAGTAGAAGAGATTAGATACTGCAGAAGAAAAGATTTGTGAACCTGAAGGCACAGCAATAGAAACTATTCAAAATGAAACAAAGAGAAAAGAAACAAAAAATTAACAAAGCAGTGAGAAATAGGACAGTTTCACTTGGACTAATGTTCATGAAATTGGAGTCCCCAAAGAGGAAGGACAGATAATAATAATGAAGAAATAATGGCCTAAAATTTTTGAAATTTGTTGAAAACTATAAACCCACAGGCAAGTGGCTCAGTGAACCCCAGGCAAAAGAAACATGAAGAAAACTATGCCAAGCGGAACAAAGATAACAATGGCATCAGATTTCTCATAGGAAACAATGGAAGCAAGATGATAGTAGAGAAACATCTTTAAAGCCTTGAAAGGGGAAAAAACTGTCAACCTGGGATTTTATACCCAGCAAAAATACCTTTCAAAAAGGAAGGTGAGAGGAAGATTTGTTCAGATATACAAAAGCTGAAAGAATTTAACAACAGCAGACTTACACTGCAGGAAATGTTGAAGGAAAACTATCAGAAGAAAAATGACACAGATCATAGATGCAGATGTAGACATAAAAATATCCAGCACCATAAATATCCAACACGAAGGTATGAGGGACACCAGAGATAGTAACTATATGGTTAACTGTAAAATACTTGTGCTGTGATGATGGTGCTGGAGTTACAAAGCATGAAACCTATAATTAAGGAACCTTTCCAAACAAGACAGTGAACTTGACAAGTACTCTAGGGCTCCTTTTAATAGAACCATGTAAACTGCCTGTTTATATTGCCTATCCAATGTGTTAATCAACTGTTCCAAAAAGAAAGGGCAGAAAAAAAAATCTCTTCAACTACCTTAGCACTCTTTTCCTACTGATAGGAAATGGACACTGTGGTAGAGAGAATAATGCCCCCTGCCAATGTTGCCTGTGTCCTAATGCCCAGAAACTGTGAACATGTTACCTTATATGGCAAAAGGAACTTTTTTGATTTCTCACCTCCAGAATTGTAAGAAAATAAATTTATGTTATTTTAAGCCGCTAAGTTTGTGATAACCTGTGGCAGCAGCAGTGCAAAACTAATATAGACACATTGATATTCAAATTCTACAAAGCTTTCATAAGCACTTTCTATGTTACAGGCACAAAAATATCAGGTTTCCTTTTTTTTCAACCTCTTCTATAAAGCGGTTGAAGAGCTTCGTCAATCATTACTTTCATTTTTGGTCGTCTCCTAAATCAGGATATTTTCAGTTGCCAGTAATGAGAATTTACTGGCTCCAGTAACTGACAAGTGCAAAGGTTAGGCAGCCGTCAGGGCCCTGGCAACTGAATCTTTTGGCTCTGTTGTTTTCCCATTTGGGACACCATCTTGGGCTAGTTTCCCCTATCTCAGGGTGACGGCCAGAAACAGCTGGAGCTCTGTGCTCTATTCTGGATTAAGATGACTAGAAAGAATTTCATGTATTGTTCATTTAGGGCACTCTATAACTGAGGGTGGGGTCAGTCTCCCCAAATTACTTCACTCAAAGGAAAAAGAGCATTATGAATCCCCTTGAAAAATCTGGGTGCTATTAGGAAGGGGAAAGGATATTGATATATAAGAGCCCTTTACAACCAACAAAAAAGAAATTATAATAATACTTCAAAATATTAAGAGTTTAAGATATTATTGACTTGTGTAATGCTTTAATAATAAATTATATCTTTATGTGTATCACCAAAAGTTCTGAATGTCTCCTTTTTTATTTGTCATTCAGAGACATTTTAGACCAAAAAAATTTCAGTCTTAGGAAAGATATCTCTTTTTTGTCCCTTGGTGCTAATTATTACACAACAATAATTTGATGACCTACTTCCCGACCCATGAGGATTTCTTCCATCCTAGTATTGGATTCTTTATCTTTCTCCATCATTAAGGTCCTAATTGCAATGAACTAGACTCTTGCTTTAAAAACTTTATATACTGATAAGCTGTTTCATATAAACATCTTTTTCATGTAATAATTATTTTTATTTCTGACATCCCTAATTGAGATATTTGATTACTAAAGCCAAATAAAGATGTTTGGTATTCATGATGTTAAGAGATTTATTGTGGACGGTCATGTTTCAGTCTTCGAATTGACTCTGTAAAAAAAAAATTAAATGAGCTCATTTCTTGTAAATAAAACCAAGTATAAAGGAGTATAATGATTATTTTTAGAGTAAAGTAGAAATTTTTAGAAAACAAATATTTTCACTATCATACAGTAAGTCAGGATTAGATTTCAGTTATCTGACAAATTAATCCAGCAATAATTAGTAAATTTATAATTAACTTGTATTGTTAGGAGTGACTAAATCTGAAAGTGCTATAGGAGGCTAGATAGAGGATCTTAAAACATATCATTAGTTGAAATAGGACTAGAGGAATATATTATTTGTACATTTGCTATGTGATTTTTTAAATAGCTTTATATAGTTTATTATGAATCGCCTTTAGCAAATAGTTTTGACTTTTTTTAATGTTTTTATTGATCTTTTTAGAGAGAGAAACATCAGTTGTTTGCCTCTCATACACACCCCAACTGGGGATTGAACCCACAACCTAGGCATGTGCCCTGACGAGGAATTGAACTGGTGACCTTTCAGTGCCTGGGATGACGCTCAGCCAACTGAGCCACACTGGCCAGGGCATACTTTTGATTTTTATAATGTATAAATGACATACAGCTACAGGAACTCTAGCTCCTTAAGATTTTTGCTAATAGTCTCGAGTAACTATATAGTAGAATCACCCACAAGTTCTGAAAAAATTCCCAGAGATTTTTTATTCAATTTCTCTGAGGTGGGGGAGAGTCAGTAGCTGAGGATATCATTCTTTGCCTCTCCAATTGGCAAATATTAAAAAGTACTGGAAAGAAATGTGGTAAAAAAGAGCATATTAGTCCTCTGTATTCTCTTGGTGGAGTTTAAGTCAGCACAGCAGTATCTGCTGAAAGTTAAAATGAGTGTGTGCTTTGACTCAGCAATTCCAGTTCCAAATAATCCTAGAAAAATAATTGCATGTTTAAAAAGAAGAATGTACTAAGACCTTTACTGAGGCATTGCTTGAAATAGCTAAAAACTAATATTGTCAATTCTTAACACTATGGGAATTAAGTTCAGGGGCAGAAGTGGAGAACGGGCTCTTTTTCCTGAAAATCTATAGGTGTCTATAATGTTGCTGTAAAAAACTATTAGAAATTATTTTAAACAATATTTTCCAGAAAAGTTAACTAATGTTTTCTACTAAGTAGCAATTGTAAGGCATAGGTACTTTCTTTTCTTTTTTAATATATCTTTATTGATTTCAGAGAGAAGAAGGGAGAGGGAGAGAGAGAAAGAGAAACATCAATGATGAGAGTCATTGATCAGCTGCCTCCTGCACCCCCTGCTGGGGATGGAGCCCCAAACCCAGGCATGTGCCCTGACCGGGAATTGAACCGCGATCTCCTGGATCCTAGGTTGATGCTCAGCCGCTGAGCCACACTCGGCCAGGCAAGGCATAGGTACTTCCAAGCAAACAGTAATATTTGGAATGTCTTTCTGTAAAGTTTTATGTCTACTCCTTTGCAGAATGGAAACAGACTGGAATCCCATGGAGATAAGCAGTATGTCAGGATTTGAAGAAAATGCAGACGTGAACGGTTTTGAAGGAACTGATATGAAAGACATGAGGCTAGAAGCTGAAGCAGTTGTAAATGATGTTCTCTTTGCTGTTAACAACATGTTTGTCTCAAAAACCCTGCGCTGTGCAGATGATGTGGCCTATATCAATGTGGAAACGAGAGAAAGGAACAGATACTGCCTGGAGCTCACTGAGGCAGGGCTTAAGGTAAGTGCCTTTTCTTTTTGGAAAAAAATTGTTTATATCTTTACCACTTTATCAAAGAGGGGTCAGGGAGTGGGAAAGAGAGTCTCTTTGTTTCACGAGATACAGTTTCCTTACGATGTGAATGAATCATGTGTTCTGTACATTCCTTGCTAGAGGATCACTTACACTGAAACAAATTGCAAAGCCAGCAACTCTACGCCTCTCAGCTCCCTCACAGCTGCCACGTAAATAGCTGCTTGGCTTAGAGAGTAATACCTGAATTTACTAATTTTTTTATACTCCTTTCTAAGTCCCTAAACTTGTACTAAAAGCTTGTAGTCTTTACAAATGGATCTTAAATAGAGATCGGCAAATCAAAAGTAGAGATAAATGACCCTGGGTAAATTAATTCTCTTTTACATCAGTTAATTCTAAGGTAGCTATGGTGAGGTAGGAAGGGTTCTGATCAGAGTCAGAAGTCTTACATGTGAATTTGAGTGATCTTGGGTAAGTCAGTCAACCTTTCTCAATGTGATTCTTTATAACCTGGAGATTAAATTTAAGAACTCAAAAGGATTGGAGGATGATTATCTGAATAAAGTATGCAGAAAGATCTAGATCAGTTACAAAACTTGGCATGTAGGTACTTAAATATTTTTTCAGTCTGATTCTGTTAACATTCATTGAGCAACTATCCTGTGTCAGGAATGGGAAATGAAACTATGAATAAGACATGATTGCCCAGCCTGCATGGCTCAGTGGTTGAGCATCGACCTAGGATCCGGGAGATCGAAGTTGATTCCAGGTCAGGGCACATGGCCGGGTTGTGGGCTTGGTCCCCAGCAGGGGTGTGCAGGAGGCAGCCAATCAATGACTCTCTCATCATTGATGTTTCTCTCTCTCTCTCTCCCCCTCTCCCTTTCTCTCTCTGAAATCAATAAAGATATATTTAAAAAAAAAAAAAAAGACCTGATCCCTGTCCACTAGGAAGACCAGTAAGAAAGGGGCAAATAGAACTGTAATACAGAGGTTCCCCCAATTATTCACAGTTTTACTGTCCAGTTTTAGTTACCTGTGGTCAACCATGGTGTGAAAATACTAAACTGAAATTCCAGAAATAAATAATTTATACAGGGGTGGGCAAAAGTAGGTTAAATTGCCAGCCATCATTACCTGAAAGATAAATCATAAGTAAGGATACAAAATAAGGAGAACAAGACAAATAATACAAATAAATAATACAATAATTAAATAATAATACAAGAATAAACTGTTTCACGTACTCACAACTGTAACCCTACTTTTGCCCACCCCTGTACGTTTTAAGTTGCATGCCTTCCTGAGTATGTTGCCCAGGACATCCCTTTGTCCAGCGCTCCCATGCTGTATACAATACCCGCCCATTAGTCAGTAGCCCTCTCAGTTATCAGATCGGTTTTCAGGGAGAGAGACCACGTTTATATAATTACTATAGTATATTGTTATAATTGTTCTATTTTATTATTAGTTAATCTCTTACTGTGCCTTACTTATAAATTAAACTTTATCATAGGTATCTATGTATAGGAAAAAACGTAGTACTTATAGGGTTTGGTAATGCCCGTGGTTTCAGGCATCCACTGGGGGTCTTGGCACATATCCCTGCAGGTAAGGGGGGACTGCTGTACACTGTAGAAAGGGCTGCCATAGAGCATGGTTCTGAGGAGGTAAGAGGCATCTTCCTCGGGTGTCTGCCTCTGCTTCTCATTAAAACAGTAACACCACCACTTCTGTTTCTAACACAGACTTGCATCTTCTGTGGCTTGAATAGATGTCATAAAAATTGAGATTTACAGAGGGAATTCACAAGCTTTAGTGAAGTCAACAAAAACTAAAGTAATTTTGCCCTAGACTGTGCTGGTGAACTGCAATATGTCTTATAATCTTGGTGGACAGAAAAGCTTTAGCTGCGTTTAAAGAAAAAAAATAAAACAGTAGCATTCCCTTTCGTCTCACTGAGTTGTGCATTCATTTCCATTAGGTAGTAACAGGTAACTAATTGCAAAGGAGGATTAAAGCCACAGACTCTTTCTGGAATTCTTTATAAAAGGAGCCCAAACCAAATAAAGCGTGACAGAGCTGTGGACCAGTAATATATTATCTATCACAGTGCGTTCATACAGCAGACTCAGTATACGTGGAGTTAAATCGAAGCGTGTTTTTTTTTGTTTGTTGTGGGTTTTTTTAAATATATCTTTATTGATTTCAGAGAGAGGAAAGGAGAGGGAGAGAGAGAGATAGAAACATCAATGATGAGAGAGTCATTGATTGGCTGCCTCCTGCACGCCCCCGACTGGGGATCGGGCCCTGACCGGAATCGAACCCCATTCGCCTGGATCCTAGGTCCACGCTCAGCCGTTGAGCCGCGCCCAGCTGGGTTGAAGTGTGTTTGAGATTATGAAAATGAAACACTGTTTTGGGTAGCTTTTTAAACTTTTTCTCTATTTTACATTTGTTTTAGGACAAGGAGCAGGTGAATCAAACCATTAAAATTTTGAGAAAAAATTCTAAAGAGAGCATTTTGCATGGGTTGTTCCCATAAGTTAGAAATTGCTTAAATATTAAAGGTTGTATTAAAATATGCATATTTTAACTACTGATTGAAAAAAATGTCACTAGAGAATGACCTACGTAAACCATTGGTTTTTGCTGTGTGTCCCAAGGTAAATCTAATCATCGCACTCCCTGTTCTCTTGCAGGTGGTAGGCTATGCTTTTGACCAGGTGGACCCTCATTTACAGACCCCCTACCATGAAACAGTCTACTCCCTGCTGGACACGCTCAGCCCCGCCTACCGGGATGCCTTTGGGAACGCGCTCCTGCAGAGACTGGAGGCTCTGAGGAGGGACGGCCAGTCATGACTGAGCCTTTTCCTTAGGGGGTGGCTGCTGGTTCAAATCGCTGCCGTAAAGCTTGAAATTCTTGCATATGGTCATAGAAAATGCATCTTTAGTTTTATGTCGTTATCGTTTCTTGCTTCAAATTTGGCTTTTGATTCAGAACATTACTGACTGATGAATCGTCTTTCTTCCTGATTCGTTAAGGGAATCCTGCTCCTTTGCTATGATTCCATCATTGAGACATTCAGATTTCTTCATAGAGCATCTCTGCGTTTCTGAACCGAATCAGTATTTCATTGTTATTCCAGGGCTTTGATGCTGCCAGCACTCTCTGTAACATAGGAAATTCTGGATTTGCACAGTAACATAGGATTTAAAAGGACCTAAATGCAAACTTTGATTCAGCTTGCTAAATCAGGGGTTTACTACTAGCTTGGACTAACTTTGTAATAAATATTTTGGTACTAGCCTTACTGGAAACAAGTTATCAGCCAGTTTCCCCTGCACAAATTTTGAAATTCATTAGTTCACGTAATCTATTTATATTACTGATATGGACTGATAAAGGTGAATTAATTATATATTACTTAGCTAGTATTAAATGAACAACAGGAACTGAAATAGTTCAGTACTCCTTGTTTGCAACAGCCAGCCACTAAAGACAAACCGTTAGCAAATGAATGTAATGATTACTTTTTCCAAGGTATTTAAGCACATAAGCAAACAAAGGAACAGGCTGCATTCTTTTTCCCAGCAAAAAGCATCTTCAGTGTGGGATCTAAAAGACAGAAGATTCTGATTTCCTGAACAACAATATTTTGGCCTGTGTTGACTGTTCTTATGAATGTTTGTTTACATGATGTAAGCGTATATTCAGAAAGTATTTTGGCTTCAGCGTTTACTTTCTATAACGCAGTGCTTTGCCATTCCCACCGCACCCTCCTTCCCCCGCAGACGTAGTGTTTCGTCTCAGCGCTAAATCCACAATGTAACACGAGTGCATTGTATGGGTTTGAAAACCAAAGGTTGAGGAAGCACTCCAAGACTTAATATTTGAAAAAGGGAGAGATCTGTATTTTATATTTTATTACAGGTACTAATATTTATAAACTTAGTGAACTATACCATGCTGCTGTGTGTTTTCAAGAACATGTTGAATAGTAAGGACTGGGGAAGTTGTTTTTTTAATAATAGTCAAAAGCAGCAGAGGTTAGAAATGTACTAAAATTCTGCATTGGGACACTCCAGACATCTGTCATTTGCAGGCCTTTCTTTTGTGAATCATTATTAAGTAGTAGGTACTATTAGGCTCTGAAGGTTACGTAGACCAGAGCAATTAGGGTTTAGTCCGGCCACTGTTGCTTGTCCAGCCTCATCGGGATGCTTCCATTGTAGTCGATAATGCGTATTCATTCTCAGCTTCACTTTCGGATGCTTGACTCTTTGGGCCATGAAGTCTAGCTTCAGGTTGAACTTTCTCATGCTAATCTCAGGCAAACTGTAAAGGGTATTTTTAAACGTTGAATAAAATTCCATTTATTCATTTTGAATTATCTGTGCAGAAAGTGATTGTACGTTTAAAAATGGAAATTGTTCATTTTATGATGAATCATTGATTCCATTGATTCCAAGATTGATTCCTGTTTCCATTTTTGAGTTAGGTATTGTTACCTTTTAATGTGAGGTGAGTTGCTCTTTTTATTACTATGAAAGAGGAGCAGAGAGAGAAGACTTAGTGAAACACTGATATTAAAACTTCCACTAGATAGTAAAACCTCAATTTTACCTAGATTGTTTAAAGAATTTAAGCAGATAACTTAAGCCTTGATTACACGTCCAAAGGAAAAATAAATAACACTTACAAATCAGTGAAAAAAATGAGAATGGGCAAATAATAAAATCAAACGGCTCAGGAAAAAAATACAGATGTCCAGTAGCCACTTGAAAGATATTCACCCTGACCAGTAATTCAAGAAGGGTAAATAGGTTTAGCTATGTTGGGCCATTTCACCTAATCATTTAATTTCTCTTATTTAAATATAATGATAGCAGTAAGGATTTAGTGAGAGGCACTCTTACATCTCTTGAAGGATATACTGGTGAAACCTTTCTGGAAAATATTGGTAATAGAGCCTTTACAAAGCTTGTAATTTCTGTATTGGTAATATCCCAGCAATCTAGCATGGCGATGATTCAGCAGATGTTCATTTTCTCTAATGAAAAATTGGAATGTCTCTAAAGGTAATTAAGTTATGCCACATTCTCTTGACAGAAAAATATACAGCCATTAAAAAAATCATGAAAAAACTGCAATGGGGAAAAATTAAACTACATGGCAAAAATATAAAACTAACCTATTTTGAAAAATACTCTTCTATGTAATAGGAAACTAAAATAAGACATTCTACATGTTCATAGTCCTCCACTAGGTGGTAAGATAGGTAATTTCCATTTCCTCTATACTTTTTCACATTTTCTACATTTGTTTGTGTAGGCTAATTAAAGGGGAAAGCCATAGACACAGGTGAAGAACCTTTCTAGCAAAAGCACCAAGCTGTGTCCAATTGTGTCCGCTCCCAGGATCCTTGAAGAGGCAGTATGATTATGAAAACAGTGCACACCTCACTCCCCACAGTGGCCCTCTCCTCACCTTTCCTCCAGGTCCAGAATCAATTGCTACACCTCCAACACAGCAAATCTTAGCTCCTTCCATCGCACACAGCACCATTCTCTCGCCAGTGTTAAAAAACAAAACGTGTTGATTGTCAAGGGAGAACAGGTTAGGAAAACGCTGAGATTCTATATGACACATTGACTTCAGAACTCTGCCTTCAGCTACTTTGTTTTGTGGTGACATAGCTGAGACTTGGACAGATTGAGGGACTTGTTCAGTGGCCCACCTGTGAGCAGTAGAGTTGGGCAGAACTCCGGTCTCCTGATTCCACCAGCTTACCCTATACAGTGGGCATTAGTAAAAGCATCTCTTGAACTCTGGTTGTATGAAAGCTGTTTGGTATATGTGTTAATTGGTATAGTAGAATTAACAGAATCTCCTTTCCTAACCTACCACTATGTAAAATTCTCTGGAAGCCATCCCCTTACAACTATGGCACTAGCACATGTACCTGTTACCAGTAGTGTGAACTATAAGAATGAAATGGTGAGATTGTTTATAGTAGCATGACAAGTTGATAACTTTCAAGGTAACTGTTTAACTTCATATCAACAGGGAGAAACTCAAAATCTGGAAATGAGACATCTAGTGATTTCTAGAGTATTTGACCTAATAAGTTATTTGAAAGAATCTGAAAAATACTCCCAAGTTTTGCACTGGTCTTGCATGAATACTTTTATATTTAAGCTGACAGCACTTTGTTGTTGATAATTTTTAGAAAATGTTGCTATGAGCAGGCTTTTTCCAAATTGAGTTTGCAAAATTTCAAAGTGTTATTTTATCAAAACAAGGTTCACCTTTGGAGACCACTTCAGAAAACGCTTCCATGCATATCTGTCTGAGTCCTAACAGCCCTGTAGGCCGGTGGTTTCACTCCTGTTTTACAGCCAATTTAACAGCTTGGGAAAGGTGAAAAGATGGGTCCCAGTCTCCCAACAAAAGGCTGCAGAGCAGAAACTCAGCCAAGTCTGAGTGCCTGGCAGCCCAGAGCCTCCAAGTCCTCTGGAGCTCCCAGGCCACCTCCGTGTTATTGAGCCAATCAGTATTTAAGAAAATTAAAATTGCGGCATGTTAAATATTTACATTTAGCAAGTTAATGTTTAAAATATATATATATATCAACAGAATCAGGCCACTCCAAGATGACAAATGGCAAGATGCAGTCATGAGTTGAATGCCGCCTTTTCATTCGTGTTTACCTGGCAGCTGCATGTACCATCGACCTGGAAAGGTGGGAATCTAAGTCCCAGCCCTTTGCGGGCGATGCCTGGCGCAGTGGCTGCCAGCGGCCTCCAGCCCAGCCCAGCCCAGCCCACTCCCCGGGGTCTTCAGAACTGTCGTGAAGTGACCCCTAGACCAGCTGAGCCCAGGGACCACGCAGCGCGGGCTGCCCGGTGGGGACCACCCGTGCTGTGTCGGGCGTCCAGGACCTGAGTTCCAAGGCGACAGCTCCTCTCTGAACTGGATGATTCTGCCCCGTCCTGGTCAGGCCGCTTCGCATCAACCCCAACCTTGCAGGGGAGCCTGGGCCGCAGACTGTCCCCCGGGTCAGGTCCATCAGGAAGGCTAGTCCTTCCCATCGCATGGCCCCTGGGGCTGTGTCCAGAGTTTCTGGACGAAGGAGAGGAACAGAGGACGCGCCAGC